TTTAGTTTTTTTTGATGTCTATTTAGTTTTTTTTTGATGTCTATTTAGTTTTTTTTTAACCCCTCTCCCTTCCCCTGCCCACATCGGGGTGCCACGTGCATGCTGCGGGTTTCACAGTCGTAGGAAGTTGTTGAAACCGTCTTGGTAGTGAAGTCTGAAGCCATCAGACCTAGCCAGTAGTGCGAAACTACGATGCCAGTTGCAACATCAATAAGACCACGCTCCACGAGAATCAGAACATCAAGAGCTGTAGCAGCTGCGTCGCGATGAGTGTACACGTCGATGTCCTTTCAATGCTCAAGCACAACAGCCTTGACCTACCTAGCACAGTTTCAAGGCGGATCCGTCTCCTGACTTCCTTACCTTTGCCGCAGTCAATCGTGGACAACTATGCTCCAGCTTCCGCTGGTCCCGGATGCCATTCTATGGTGGCGTCACGTCCTCTGGAAGGTTGAACTGGACCACCAGGGAAACGTCGGGAAAGTCAAGGCCTCGCGACCTCGTCTGGTCTGGCAGAATGCAGGTTGCGAGCTCCAGCCGTTCTAGCTCCCGACGCGTGGCAGACAGCGAAGCTGAGGTCCGGTCGCTACGTTGGTGGCGACCAAGATGTCGAACTCACCTGACACAGCTCTGACAGTGGGTGCGGAAACATGTTGGAAGAGTGTCCTTAGAAACGAGCCGCCTCGCCGGAATCCGTCGAAGACCTTCTCCCGGACCTCCTGGAAGGCATAAGGCGACGTCCGCGTCTGCAGAGGCCGTCATACGCAATTCGGCCTGGTCGAGCTTGCCATGCAAGTGCCGACAGGTCCAACCGCCTGGCAGGACCGGAGACTTCTTGGAGGCAACTTTGAGGTGTTGCAGTGTCCTCGAGGCGATACACAGTACGGCTCATTACACCTTAACCTCCGGATGCATCCTTGGCACCTTCACGCTTCAGCTGGTGCGCAAGGTTGTCTGCGGTAATGCGCATGTTGGAGAATATGACGACTCTGCCTTCATGGCGGGCATGGCACTTGTTGCAAGCTTCAAGCCACTGGAGCTTGACAAGGAAGGGCTAATGACCTGATAGCTTCCAAAAAAGACTGTGTTGGGCTGGCATTGGACCCTTGATCATGTTCCACGATGGACTCATCAGGGCACTTCAGCGTATCCTTTCAGAAGCGGATGCCTTTGCTCCGGTCCCAGTACTTGCGCAAATCCGCGATAAGCTCCTCGGGGATGGCGGCTACATGAAAGGAAGTACACAGAAAGGTAGAGCAGTAGAGCACGGCAGATGCTCAAGCGAGGCCGTCAGACTCTAGGTGAAGATTTGCATGCTTTGTTCTGCTCTGCGGAAGAGTCAGCAGCGGTAGCCCTTACAAGCACTTGCGAATGGCCTCGAGATCACCGACTGGAAATTGCGGGGCAGTAAGAGCTACTCTGCAAGACAATGGTATCTACTGGGTAGCAGAGCCAGCAGAGCCACCAGACTGTCCAGCCGATACGCTGACAGAAGTTCTTAGGCATGTCCGAAGCGAACTGCTGGACAGGTTCCCCAATTCGCTGCTTGTCGTCTGGAGACCAGCGTAACACCTCCCAACCAAGGTCGGCAGCGACCCAGATGAGAGGCACTCGACAGATGCAGCATGATCTGCAGATAGCACTGGTAGCACTTGTCCCGGGCCTGCTTGATGCTCTCGCATGAGCCACCCTTGTCCTTTCAGGCAGGGATCTGAAGGTTCTCACTTTTTGTCGGACGCTCGGAATCGGTCGTGTGCCCAGCTTGATGCGTGCCCGCATAAATAAAAGCCTGTTCTGCTGTCCACTGTCACTGCCCGGCCTCCGCGTAGTGACCGATCGTGAGATGCCCGGTTCGCCTGCAGCCGCAGACAGGAAAACACTGAAAGCGAGGCCTTACAGTCCCTTGTCATGGCACGTCTGCACAAACACATAGTGCACTCAAGATGCGCTGTCCGCAGAATCTGCGGGCACATGTCTCGGATCTTCCTTTCAGGCGCGGTGCGATCCTACCTACATGATGAACCTCAAGTTCCAGGTGATTCGATTCAAAAACAATCTGTTGCCCTTGAAGGTTCACAATTTTGGTGCCCTTTCGAAGCTCGTTGTTTGCCGCATCGATTGAAGGCCTTGTGACGAGACCATCGGACCAGAGAAGTGATAGGAAAATCGGAGCGGAAACGCGTTGCCGCCTCCGCCGCCTCTCTCAGGCGAGGCGAAGCCGGGCAAAGCCGGGAAATTGCGAAGCCAAGCGAAGCCAAGCGGCTGCGGGATCGTCGCGCTGAACAGCAGCGTTTGTCTTCCAGAGCTTGGTGGAGACATGTCCTCGGTGTTCAGGCTTCCTGGTTTCCCAGCGGCGTCAAAGTAACGAATGCAGGAGCACGGTTTCGACCCCGTCTTCAAAGCTCTCTCTTCTTCACTTCGTAACCTTCATGACTCGCAGTGTCTCGGTGCAGTCAACCACCTTATAGATCAGCCCGTCGTCCGCGAACATGGTCGAAAAAGGACCATGCAGCTGCTGTTGCATTACGGGGCCATCAAAACTCTGACCGTCCACTTCCTGGTCTCATCTCGTACCCCGGTTGACAGAAACAGTCTGGAAAGCCTAGTGACGATGCTCGACAGGGTGAGACAAGCCGTCTTCCTTGTTGCACGCTAATTAACCCGCAACAGCCTTTAGTACAGTCGCCATGTTTGCAAGAAGCTCACAACAATATGATGCACAAGGTAGGGGGTTCGCAGAGGTGAGTGAACCACCTCCGCAGCAGATGCGGAGACTATGCAGTCAGTACATGAAGCCTGCTGGCAAGCGACCCGTCCCACAAGGATATCAGCACACATGATCTCCTGAGCTTCGTCGATGATGCACATCAACTGAGACTTTATTGAAGGCCCGGACAGACTCTGTGCGCACGCAGGTCAGTCAAGCTCACATCGACTGCAGTCACGCTGCCAGACGCTGCTCCAACATCTGGTCTGCCTCATCCAAGATCACGGTCTGGACATACGCCAAGGACAACCTCCGCAAAGTGAAAGGGAGAGCGAAAGCCCCAAGAGAACTCCTGGGCGAGGCGCTTGGTCTCGTCCAACAGTTGGATCAAGCGACCAGGCGTCCTCGGCTGAAAGGAGGCATTGCGGCACCTCGAATGGCGGGATCCTCCATCCGAGAGCTTCAATGAGAACTCGTCGACGAGCGACGCGCAGACGATGTCGACCGGAGCGTTCTCGAGTCTTTTCACCGTTTCCTGGCCAGACTTCGAGCGTGCTCTTCTGGGGCTTTGGCGCTTTGGCTCCAGGACGCTGCCCAGAAGCCAGGGACCGAGACTTCGAGGGCTAAGGAGACATGACCAGAAAGCAGAATCAATCGGAGCCAGAGCCAACTAAAACTGCCTAAAGGAATCAGCTCCCGGTCCTGTGCCCAACATCTGCGCCCTCCTAAACCTCTGGAGCTGAAATGCTCTGGGCTGGCACCTTGACTGTCTCGCCTCCATAGATGCTCATCCTGGAATGGGACGACTCCAGCTCTCATTCTCGGCCCAGCAGGCTTGCTGCAGCTCAATTGCTGGGATTGCTTCCAAGGCTCTGCGAAAGTTTCGTCCTTGGTAGTTTTGCGGACATCTGTGTGTGCAGGTGGATGAAGTCGTGCCTGTCCGATGCCAAGGTACCCTTTCGTCAGGACCTCCATCTCCGTGCAAGTCTGGATGGCGAGTTCACGCGTGGGTGACAGCACCTGGCCCCGGTAAGTTGCGCCACGAGGAAAGGATGGAGAAATCTGACTCTCTAGTTCCCACCGCCCGAAGCAACTTTTCAATAACGAAGACATCGCCAGGCACACCAGGACGACAGGGCATGCCTCCAGGATGCAGAGCGAGCTTGAGGCTTCTCACATATTACTGGTCTCATGATGTTGCAAGGGCCGCATGGGCCATAGTGTGCCCTGTCAGGCCAAGCTGGACGGGCCCACCTGGGCCGTGGGCCCAGCAAAGAAGGGTCGCGCGGGGCAGCCACGCAGAACGAGGCGAGCGATCCTAAGGCAAAACATGACTCGCTCGTTCCCCGTATCTTGGCTCCAACTCCAACGAGTGGCGTGGGAATTACGAAGGCGAAAGTCTTCCCAGAGCCTGGACAGGCTCCCAGCTTCCAGCCATAAAGCACCACGTCTAAGGACCATTCAAAATCCCGATTTACATGGCGTGCGCTCATCCCAATGCTGCTGGGGCATGCTGAGGCCACCAAAATCCATGCATGCCCGGAACGGAGCTACGGAACGAACAACGCATGCTGAATCCTCCACCCTGGCAGTCCCGGCATGCGCCTGTTTGCGCTTGCGCAACCTCTGGATGTGCTGCAGATGTGGAGTCCGGGATCGGGCCAAGGGAACATCAACGTCATTCTGCCATTAACGAAACGACGAACTGCGTCTACAGAGTCTACAGTGTACAGCGTATGCACATAATAGCAAATCCTGAAGGGATGAAGCGACAAGCATGAAGCTCCACGCGACTCGACAGCCAACACTTGCCTAACTGTCAGGTTCGATTCTGGCAAACCCTTCAGCCGAAGTCAACCGTTCGTGATGAAAACACAAACATGGCCCAAGCAAAGATTTGCGCTTGTCAAACTCCACACACCAGAACGCGCAGAACTCTCTCGATCCAGGCAACCAGATCCCAGTGATCTGCATGGCCGATGATGGGAATTGCATGGCGCTGAATCCTGCGAGCGAATGACAAGAACAGACAATGCTGGCTGAAGATCTTGCAGCACAAATTATCAGGCAGCTTGCAGCTGCTTTTGGTTTGACTTCTGGCTCCTAAACGGCGAAGCGCATGAGCATGCAAACCCACACAAGTCATAGCCAGGAAGCAATGTTGGCCGTTTGAGGCCCGAAGCATGCCTAAGCCAGATTCCAGCAAGAATTTCCACAGCACTGGGAACCGGTATGTCATTCTCTCTGACATTGAGACTTGTGGGATCCCTCTTCACTTGTAACTTCAGGAGGACGGAGAATAATTAAGGCTCTGAAAAAACTGCGTTTGGTAAGAAAAAACCGATCCTCAGAAATGAACCCTCCTGCTGCCGGGCCCATCGTTGGTCTCAGAGTCATTCTTCAAGTGCAGTTTTCACGCGATGCCAGAACAAACATATCCCACGTCCAGGGAGCTGCTACCATGAACTACCCAAGCACCAATAGTAAACCAGGCGCAGCTTCTGCACCAGCGATGCATTCAGCAACTTCCGATCGACTGCCTCGCCTCGGGTGACCGCTTCGGCAGTTGCCGTGCAATGAGGACGGTGAGGACCAGGCGACGCGGAGGGTCGTGACAAACAGCAGACCGTGACAAGACAACAATGCAGCGTGGCGGCGCCAGGAGCAGACTGGTGCAGGAAGATCCTCCGGCTCCCGATTCACCGGCAAGTCGTCGATGTTGGACAGGGCTGCCTGACAGATTCTAAACGGCTGCAGCTCGAGACTCAAGTGCGGAGCATTCTCTATGCAGTCGCATCTTCACTGTTGTCAGGCACTTCAGGATGATACCAAGACCTTCAGGTCAAGGGTCTGAAAAAACGACAAAATCCACTATACATCCAATGCTGCACTTGCCGTACCAGCACATCCTAACTCTAAATGCACTTTCTGGACCATGAAGGCGTACAGGTGGCTTCTCTTTAAAGACTGCCAAGTACTGGGCTCTCCTTTCGAAGTCGGTTGCACAAACTCAGATGCCTCTAGCAGATCTTTAGCTTAAGCGCACGTTGTCCGGGTGACGGAGCATCTGGAAGCCTCCCTGGATGCCAAACAACAAAACTAGGAAAGGCACAAAGTGTTAGCAACCTCGTTGCCACGTCGTTGATCTGCACGCACAGTCCTGATCAGATCGCTTTGCTTCAGCTTATGCTCATGATCTCATAAGCGTTGTCAACTCGAGGCAGGCAACGGCAAAATGGGGCACCCCGAGTAGCTTGACTCTAAACACATCGGACGACCCGCCCACTGTGCTGATTGCCATCTGAGCTGGGTTCAAGATGTTATTCTCGTCGTCGCTGCTGGGCAGGGTCTCCTTAGCGTCGCTTGACCAATGCTCAAACGACTCCATTGGACCTGTAAAGCAAAAACACTACGTGGAACACGGTGGCGACGACTTTTGCCTCTGTTGCGCTCACTTTGCACGATCGTTACTGCTACGCAGCTCTGACCTTCGCACCTGCAGACAACTTAGCACAGTTGGAGCAAGTCTAGCCACACAGTTGCACTAAATCGAAGGCCTGACAGTGCACTCTCCGTCAAGTTAGCCTCGCGAATACGAAGTCACACCACTGCACTCGAGCATCTGATTCCGGCTTCTCGAAGACCACTTCGACTGGCCTTGCTCGGCAAGTATCCAACCGGAAGCTGCTTGAGCAAGCATGCTTGACTCTAGAAGTTGCCACTAAGCTTTCACTGAGTCAAACAAATTCATGTCGAGGCAACTTTGGACCTGTGGAAGGGACCGGGCCCTTGATTCAGGAGCCAAGAAATACCCGGAATAGGACATGACCCAAATGCCCGAGAACCAGCAGTCATAGCAGAAGTCCGGGTTGGACGAGGATCTCCAAGTTCAGGGGCATGCACAGGGAGCGCGCAGGCTGCACGTGCAGTCATTGGCTGCATGTGCCCTTTCCTGCCCATGTAAGCCCAGTGAAGCCCGCGATGACACGGCAAGACCAGACAAGACACCATGTAAGCCCAAAGCAAAGCTGCATCCTTCAGCAAGGCCTGCACAGCGGCGGAAGCCAGGCCTGCAAAAACTCAACTCTTCACCTCTGACGGCCTCATCGAGTTAGATTCCGGCGTACAGATTTCAAGGCTCACATGCTGACTCGACCGTGACGGATCTCAGTCCCTTCACTGCCCACGCTCGGACACTTCTTGGAAACTCGTCGCTGGAAGACTCAAATACATCCGAGACATCCCACATCGAACAGCAGACATCCCACCATTTCACATCATGATCTGCTGATCTGCCTACCCGAGCTCTGCCCAAGTCACCCAAAGGCTGGCCGCACCACATCTGTCATCTCGGCCTTGGCAATCTGTGCTGGCGACCCGCTTCACTGTCCAGCCTGGCTCAATGCCGGCCTGGTTGCAGCAAGACAGGAACGCAAGACAGAAACGCAGTCCAGCAAGCACATCCTGGAGCACGCGAAGGACTGCTGATTACATCTCGTCTTCGGACTTCAGGTCTGAGGGCTCAGTTAGCGCATGCCCCCGGCCTGCGCAGCCGGCTTGTCTTCTGCGACCTTCTCGATGACATAACCCGTGGCAGCAGCCTGCAGGGTCAAGGCTCTACAACCACATCAACCTAGCTAGCAGCCCATATCGACGCAGTTATGCAATGTGCTTGTATGAGGGGAACAATAACTCAGTAGTTGCTTCGTTGGCAGTGAGTCCTGCGAAAGGGCGGGCCTGAAGTATCCAGCTTGTATCAAAAGAGCTGAGACAGCACTGTGGGGAGACATGTGCGATGCTCGGTGTGTCTCGCAACTGCTGCAGACAGCACGGCCCAAGACTCTTTCCGGTCTGCGGACTGCAAGTCAACAATCCAAAGTCTAACAGCTTCGGTTTTCAGCTCCCTCGCTCCGCTGAGCGCTGGTTGCGGGTTTAGGGTTTAGGGGTTAGTGGTTTAGGGTTTAGGGTTTAGGGGTTTAGGGTTTCGGGCGTTGTGTTTGGTTCTTCTGTGTTTTGGGGGTTTCATGGTTCCTTAATAGGATTCCGATATGGGGTGTCTTAAGTTAGCGATGGCCATTTCCATTTAGGTTATAGTATCGTCAAGCCCCCGCATTATCACCCAAATTTTCACAATTCGTGTACCCCCCCCTATGAATATCCAAAGAATCATAAGAACATC